TGGCTCAGTAGAATAAGTGCTTGCCTGGCAAGCACAAGGGCCCAAGTTCAACCCCCAGTTCCGAAAAAAAAAAAAAAAAATTATGTCCCAGAAAGGAGAAAGCTGGCACAATCAGCTTCAAGGGGCCGTCCATTCTGTATCCTAAAGAGTTCATTGGCTTCTCCTGTCACCCAAACTTGTCAGAGGCATTTGCATGTTGTTCTTAGAAAATAAGCTATAACCAATGGGATGGCTCTCTTGTTTAATAATTCATACAATAAACATTTCAGACATCCTTATCAGATTGGAGTCATTTCAAAGTCCTTTGAAAAGACCCATGGTTCTTAGCAGAACCAGGAAGAGATTACATAAACTCCGGTACACTGGACTTACATGTGGGAGATGTATGTATGCATGTAGGAGGGTAGAGGAGACATAAGAAACATATTTACTCTGCTAGTAGAGTCAGTTCTATAAAGATTAATATAACCACTTAAAATAAGAGACTTTCAAGTTAGAAAGGGCTGTCATCTAATACCTGTATAATTTCTTCCACAGACAGGTAATACATTCCATCACAGGTCATCGTTGATGATTCTTCCATTAAATTCTTCTTGTACTAAGTAAAAATCCTGAGTTCCACCTATTAGTCCTAATTCTGCCCGTGAGCCCCAAAGATGATGTGGAAGCTCCCTTTTCTGTGTTTTTTAAAAGACAGTTATTTTCCTTTCAGTGTTCTTTCCTAGGTTACATCCCAGCTCTACCAAAGTTCCAGAAACAGATTCGGCTGTCTCAAAGCGAAGAAAGACAAGCACTTAAAGCCAAAAGGGCTTCAAACATCAGTACGTGTAGGACTCCAGAAGCGGACGTTCAAAAGACGTTTCCTAGGTTCGAAACTCAGATTCTAAACCAGTTGTTTGAGTCCCAACACTGTATAGCCAGCATCTCAGGGGACCCCAAAGTAGATGGTAGGACCATATAGGGGGGAGATACACTGCCCCTTTTTACAAACGAATAAACTAACCTAAGCACAGGAAAGAGATTTGGCCTACATTATCTGGCAGTCGGCGGCGAGATCTCAACTTCCTATCTCTTCTTACTCTCATCCCAAATCAGTTCACTTCTCTCGGTCTCTCTACTCAGGGTAAGTTCATTAAATACAGTCGCACACGAGAAAGGCGGACTCGTACGGGGAAAAGAAAAGGAGTCACGGTGAGCCCTTGTCTAGAAAGGAACCCCTTCTTCCCTTTCTCAAGATCTCAGTTTCTCCGGATGTGTACTCATGGAAAAGAAGACCACACGGCTCTGGCCTTTCTTCTGGGTCTGAGAGCACTCGGTACCGCCAGGCTGTTCTTTCTGGCCCTGGCCCGCTTGGCTCAGGTGTGGAAGCCCGTGAACCCGAGCAAGGCGAAACCGGGTCTCCCGCCCCTTCCCCCAGCTCCTACGGCCTCTGCCACCACCCCAGCCTGCCACGTACCTGTCTCCGCGCAGGGAACGCTCCTAGGGCCGCTTCAGCCTACCAGTTTCTCGGTCTACCTGCCAACCCTACGCCTCGCCAGTCTGTGAGCCCAGACCTCTGACCCCTCCTACGCGGACTCTGGTCACGCGGTACCGCCCCTCTCAAAGACTTCCGGCCATAACCGGAAAAGGTTGGTCCGTGGCTCGGTTATCCCGCCCAGGTCCGGGCTCTAAGGTTCCGCCTACAGGCAGGAAAGAGGGGACCCTTTCTGTTTGGAGCTTGGGGAAGAGCCTGAGCTTTGGACTATTTTAAGAAAAAAGGGGGGGGAGAGAAAAATGACTTTGGAAATATATTAGATAAGCCCTAGAACATCTTGTCTCACCAGAGTGTAAAAATGATAGCAATAAGAACAATAGAACGTGTAAAAGGAAGCAGGAGCTATCTTGAAGATTCCACTGGCCAAATCTGGCGCCTTCAGCATGAAAATACGTGATTGTAATAGTGTACAACTAATTGAATAAAATATTATTCACAAATTTTTACTAACATAAATGAAAAAGTGAAAAAATAAATATGCAGAAAGCAAACTCTTCATTTTAATAAATGGTACATCATGTTCCACAGCAAAAACAATGGAGTTGTACAATCATCAGTGATAAAACTAGAGCAGTAGGATGTTTTTACAGAATGTCTCCCACAAATTACTTATTGATTATAAAGGGAAGTTACTAATGTTACAGAGGTGTAACCTAGCAGAACAAATGAATCAAAGTGATTAAAGGTAAAATAGACAAAGGGCCGGGGAAATGGCTCAGTGGAATAAGCGTTTCCCTGGCAAGCACAAGGGTCTGAGTTCAATCCCCGGTTCCGCAATAACTAACTAAATAAATAAAATAGACAAAGTCATGACATGGTTGGAGACCACTGATAGGAACAGAGAACAAGCTCTTGGGACCTTAAAACCTTGCTTTGTGTCTTCTTCTAACATAGGAACTTAAACATGGCTTTTGCTAAACAAGTGGCTTTTCACTTGGGCCTACAAATGCCCAGTAAGTAACTACAAGTAGAACAAAACTTGATCTTTATTGTGTAAAATCTGAGTCAAATCCCTTTCAGCTCTACGTATAGCATGTTAGTCATTTAGGGAGTGTCTATCTAAAAATTGGGAAAATAAGTTTTATTAGCCCTAAATTTACCTACCTTGTTACCCTTTAAGATTGACAACACCAGGAAAAGAGAGTTACAGGAATGTTCTCTACTCCCAGAATCTCCATTGTCCTAAATCAACGGCTTCCTTTAAGTCCAGCAGAGCCCCTCACAAAACTGAAATTGCTCCTTAATTCATGAAGAGTCATCTGGAACAAAGCAACCAGGACTGAGATAATGAGCAACTGGATTCCACCCCATAAAACTGGGTCCCAGTCCTTTGTTGGGTGCCAATTTGATCCTCTTTTTCAGAGTGTGTGTCCTCTAGTTATTATTCAATCTGGGGTCCTTCCCTTATCTTCTCTTACCTTCCAATTAAAGCTTTGCATGTAAAATCATACTGTTGCTTTAGTTTTAATTTTCTTCATCACTAAGGCAAGGACACATGCTAGCTGGTGATATCAATAATGGGTCAGGTAGAGGTCATGTACCTCTTAGTAAGTTGCACTGAGAGGGATTCATCTTTTCTGTGGTTTTTCTGTTAAAAGTGCATGGCCTTGGGGTTGAGAGTCAGCCCTAAAGTACTTGCCTAGCAATCAGGCCTTGGCTTTCATCTTCCACAGGAAGAAAAAAAAGTGCATGGCCCAAATCTCAATCTCATGAGGAAACATTAGGTAAACTCATATTGAAGGACACTATAATATAGCTATTAGGTTATAAGAAGCTAAGAACTATTCGAGCATGAAAGTATACGGCAAAAATGTGGTGTATGATTCTGAATTGGATCCCGCACTGAGATGATGTAGCAAAGTAGTTGTAAAGGACAATACAGAGACAAGTAACAAAATTTGTATAAGAATTGTGGATATTAAGGGCCTACAATTATACAAGGGATTGGACCTGAATAGACAGTAACTATATCATAATAGATGAAATAAACTTACACAAGAAAGTCTGTCAGCTATGGACAAGAAGTAACAAGGGGATATTTCCAGTACCACAAACCTGGATTTGAGATCAGGCACTGAGGGAAAGAAAAGCAGTCCCTGACAGCCAGGACCTAGCCTGGCATCCATACCATAGGTAGACCCTGGCATTCTCCTGCTAAAATATAAAAATTTCACAAAACATCAACATTGAACATGGTCAATTTGCGACCAGAGTAGATAAATATGAATCCATCCAGATAATACATGAATATTACCCAAACTACACCAGCAAAAAAAAGAAATTCTCTACCCTGACTCATATAGAAATTACAGTTTTAGGATCAGTATTCTCTCCCCCTTCTAGAAAAGTTTATCCGCATATCCATTTATAGACAGCATCTAATTTAGATCAGAGCATCTGTGGGGAGCCATTAACTGGTATCCATTTTATAATAGTGTCAGCCATTTTCTTAAGTTTCTATTCCACTGCTGAGTTAAGTTTCTGGTCCTGCCCGCCTTGCCCATTCCCCATGATATGCCCCAGGGGTGGGACCTTCCTCTGTTGCCTAGATATCTGCTGACCCCCGAAGAGCCAAGACTTCCTTATTCCTACAATTCCTATATATATCCAGCACCTCCCCTGAATAAATGAGACTTGATCAGAATCCTGTCTTGTCTCCATTCTTTGTGTCTCCTGTCCCTTTTCATCCCCACTCCCCCTCTAGCATCCTCGTTGACTAACCTGGGGGTCAGGACAAGCATCTACTTCCTTAACCCCTCCTCCAAATCACCTACCACAAGCATTGAGATGTCCCATTGTTCTTCGAGGTTTGCATCCTGCCACAATGAGTGATCAATCAACTACTTAACCACAAATGTGTTTTGATTTATTTCTGCTTCAAAAAATTTTGAGGGAGCCAGGAATGGTGGTACCTGTCTGTGATCCCAGCACTCAAAGTCTGAGGCAAAACGGTTTCTTTGAGTTTAAGGTCAGATTGGGCTACATAGTGAGTTCAAGGCCAGCCTGAATTGTGTAGCAAAACCCTCAAAAAAAAAAAGAAAGAAAGAAAGAAAGAAAAAAGTGAGGATACTGAGAATAGGTTCAGCACAGAGTAAGCTTTGCATTTTCATAAATTTTTGTTAGTACCTCCTTTGAAAAAAATCATAGACAATCATCATAATGAAAGACATTGGGGCCAGGGAGATGGCTCAGTAAAATAAGTGCTTCCCTAGCAAGTGCAAGGGCCTGAGTTCAGCCCCTGGCTCTGCCAAAAGAAAAAAAAGAAAAAGAAAAATATTGAAGAGTCTGAAAAGGCATTGAAACCATAAGCTTCAATAAGTAAACATTCAAGCTCAGTGTGGCAGTACACATCTATAAATCCCAGCAATCTGGGCCACTGAAGCAAGAGGATTGAAAATTCAAGTCCAGCCTGTGCAATTTAGTGACTAAGACACTGTGTAGGGGACTTGGCAAGGGGAATGATTAAAAACATGAAGTAGCTTTCAGGGCAAAACCATGTAGGTTCTGAGAGGAGTGAATGGTTAAATTTTGAAACAATATGGGGCAGGGCAAGAGCATGTAGGACTGTACATAGTGTTCTGAGCACAGCACAGTTGGAAAACAGCAAGAAGTCTAGTGAAACATGTTGGGTCTGGCCATTGTCCTTGTCCTTGTCCTCATAAACTTCTTGGCTTTGAGAGAGATCTTTAAAACCCAAGCTTTCCCCCTCCTCCTCTTGCACTAACATTCTAAAGAAAAGTCACAGAATTCTTAATTCAAGGCTGTCCCTGAGACTGCCTCACACCACTGGGGTGAAGACAGTTCCTCTGGGCCTCTCAATGGTCACACCAAGTCGGATCCCTGCATAAACTTTTCAGCCTCCATGCCGCTGGGGTCACACTGCAACAACCCTGTCTGAAAGATAAAAAGCCCAGGGGATATAGATCTTCGCGAAGACTCTGGGTTTAATGTATACATATTCTTCACCCCAGATAAATGAAGAACTAAAAGACCAGAGAAATTAAGGTACACAATCAGGGCATGGCAAAGAGGCTGAGTAATTGGGCCCGACCTGTCAAACACAGAGATCTGTTAAGCGCAGAGATTCAGGGCACATGCAGAACAAGCTACTGAGTCCCGCACCTGATTCCCATCAGGGAATGGTGCCTTCAACTTTTCTGGCACAAGTTCAAGTTGAGTACTCCACTTGATACCAATCTTGTGGTGTGAGATCAAGTAGGATTTGCAAAGGACAACTTAGATACGATGTTGGAGCAGGGGATATAAAAGCTGGTGGCCTTTAGGCTGGTGAGTGCTATAAGCCTTTTCACCAGCCTACCCCTACACTGTGTATGTTGTATTTCTTTTGCTAATTTATCTGGCCCATGCTCACTCTGCAGAGTACTGATTTTGCACTTCTTCTTGTGTCCTAAATAACCTTTCTCATTCATCGATTGTTTTGTCTTTTTTTGTGTGCTGGGAATCAAACTCAGGACTCTGAACTTGCTAGGCAGGAGCAGTGTCGCTGAACTATCTCCTCAGCTATTGTTCTAGGTCTTTAAACAGGACACTAAGAGCCTGGAAAGGACCAACTGGTCACTAAAATATGTACCTGGTAACAGATTTGGTGAGCCAGCCTGCAGGTAACAAATGGAGCCAGAAAGAGGTAAAACTTTTGGGCACAGTTTTGTTTCTCTCTAAAGTTTATGAACTGAAGCAGAGAAGGACTAGTTGAGTTGATTTTTTTTTTTTTTTTTTTTTTT